ATGCATTTGCACAGTGTTGGGTGGGTAGGAAACAGATGGGTAGCGTGGCGAAACATGGTGTGCTCCACAGCCTGCGCTGGGCCAGGCCAGCAAGTCTTGCTCCTCCACAGCCTCCAGAGCAGTGCACAAAGCAGTTCTTGGCAGCAGTGCACTGAACCTTTGTGCCTGCAGGTTTTGTAGCACCACTCCACTGGCTCTAGTCTTGTTGTGAACAAAAAGCCATTAATATCCTGCAGAGTTCCTGGAGACTGACAAAAAACATTGTATTTTCAAACTCTCTCTCTTAAGTCGCAATGATGAATGTATATAAAAGAGACTAAAAAGAAGATGAGGATAGCTTTTTTCCATATATTGTGATCTCTCTGATCATTTTTCATAGCAAGAGGCACTAAATACTTTAATACTCTCCTCTGATGGGTTTGCCCTTGGTTGGGGGCCAACTTACAAACACCCGCTCACCCAATCCCCTGCACCCGAGGATAGGGGAGAGAATTAAAGGGGGAAAGGGAAAAAAGGACTCGTGGGCTGAGATAAGGACAATTTAATAACTAAACTACAATAATATTGAAAATAATACTATATACAAATATACAAATGAGTGACACACACAGTGACACTGCCCCCCCACCCGATGACCAAGGCTCAGCCTGTTCCCTGCTAACGATCCCGGAGCAGGGAGAGTCCCGAAACCGCACTCACGGAACGGAGAGAACAGTCCAAGCGCCCCAGACCCAGAGCTGACCGGGGTGGGGAAAGGCCTTGGGAGAGCGACCACCTGGAACCAGATGACCCAGAGCCAAAGAGATCCGGAACCAAAAGGGCCGATCTTCCAGAGGGTCCTCACCTCTATACTGGGCATGATGGGTATGGTATGGGATAGATTATTGGCCACTCTGGGTCTCAATCCCGAACCTAAGATCAAATCCTGGGCTGGTAAATGGGGCCGTGCTCCCTCCCAGCTTCTTCTGTTTGCAGACAGCCAGAGAAGCTGAAAGACCTTGGCAGCCGCTTTTTATCACTTCTTATCAGCTTTCTTCTGAGCACAAATCCAAAACACAGCCTCTTGCTAGCTGTTATGGAGAACGTTAACTCTGTCTCTGCTTAACCCAGGACACCTCCGTAATGGAAATAATGGAACTATTTCACTATTTATGGAATAAAAAATTAATTTGAGAAGCATAAATAAATATGCAATAGGAAACAACTGCAATGGCAGGAAGATGAACTTCCTGACCTAAGAGGTCTTTTCTCTCTTTAACTCTAGTGATTGCATAGATATATTTTAATTTGCTGTTAATAAGAAATAATAAATGTAGCTAAACGCAATGAAATTTGAGACTTCTTGAGCTGATAAGCTGTATAGTCGAATAGTCATACATACTTAATAGCCAAAGAAAGAAAATATAATTTACCATTTATGTTGTCTTTTAAATATTTCTGCTACACCTATAAAATGCATTTTTAGCAGTCATTATGAATTTGTTCAATGGTGGTGTTTCAGAATCCTCTGTTTCTTTTAAGCCCCAACACATTGTATGTTACTTGCCCAGATGGTCTTCGGAGTCTAGGCAAGGCTCTTAGATGTGTCTTCAGCTGCAACAGCACTGAACTTGCAAGAAAACAATGCCTCTGGCTCCTAGGGGATGGGTTGGGCCAGGTCAAGACCTGAGAGTGGAGACAATTGACCCACTCAAACCACATGTAGTATGGCCACCTTGTCTGTTGGCCTCTCTATACTGAATCTTGATCTCTTCTGCACGTTGCAGTTTACCAGGAAGAACGGTTATTTGGCAAGCTAAAGGTAGAGAGATGGAGGGACCAGCCCAACTAGATCTGTGTGCACCCGCTTTCCTGATGAGCAAACAACCTGTGGGCACCTCATCTAGCTATGGGCAAAACAACCTACCTGCCTTTTTATCTTTAAGACAGAAACCAGGTATGAGTTTACCTGAATCCCAGTAGAATAAAGCTCCATTTCTTCCTGAGATAGTGACAAGACTGACATGATACAGATTTAAAAAAATAACATGAGTATGACAAGGCTGCAGGGAGGATTAGAGATGTTCTGACTCAGTGCCAGTCTCAGTAAAGTGCACTAATGACAAGAAGAATAGCTTTTAATACTGTAAGGGGCAACATGAATGGAAAATAAAATGCAACAAACAGCAGGAAAGATACGCAACCTGCACATTCAGAAAACACTGTAATTCTAGATCAGTGCTGATCCTGCATTTGACAACAGTTAAATGAAACGGATGCTGCTTTTGCCTGCTAGGGGTCAATAAGACAAAAGTTGGTACTGGACCTGTAACTTTCTACAAATTATCAGGGCATGTAAAGATTAGTGGGACCTGTAGTTTAGACATTAACTACAGACAAAGCACCTTGATATATCGGCCTAACTAAACAGAGAAGACTTTTTGTCTGCTCTCTTCTGGAGGCATCACTGAAATAGGCTACTTTTTTATGGACAGTTCTCACCAGAAAATTGTCACACTTGTGACTTCAGTACATCTACAAGCCTGTATTGTCTATCACATTAGATTTGAGTTTTAAAATACCACCTCGCGATTTAAAAATGCAAATAATGTATTAAAAAATCATGAGGACTACACGCTTTGTTCTCTTGGGTTAATTCTTCCTTTCAGTCACTGCTGTTTGGTGAGTAGTAGCAGCTGAGCATTGCCAGTGGCGTCTCAGCTCAGTTTCCGATGAGTCTTGTTTGCCCCCTCCTGGTATAACTAGAAAAGAGCTGCAGTTCATTTGATCTTTTCCTCCTGTTTGTGTTAAGGGCTGGTGCTTCAGATACTTGGGGTATGAATCACTTTGCGCTCATTCTCCCTTTTTTGTATGGGTAGGTTATCCACCTGTGCCCGCGGAACTGAACCCTTCGTTCTTACCACACAGAACACACCAGAATAGGCAAATTTTATTCTAGAAGCATGAATGAAAGAAGGTCAAAGGCTTTTTTGTTCACAGTTCAACTACTGCCTTTTCATACACTCTATATGGCTGTACTAATCTCTCAAGATGGGTGTTCAAGCCTATCAAGTTCAATTACATAGTTATTTCAAGATACAGAAAGATAATTGAACTTTAACATTTACTGTAAATAACTATGGACAATCAACTAAACTTAATAACTGCAAAGCAGATACTAGGCTCCATCACAGAAAGGATTCAGGTTTTCTGTTTCTTAATTGACTTTCAGGCTTTTAAAATGCCAGTCTTTTAAAACCGTTTATTTTTTTGCAAAATTTTATATATTCAGAGCAAAAAGAAGTAAGCAATATGGGTCTCTTCCAAACCCTGCTGAAGTTAATTAAGGTGGCATCACGTGAGCTAATACCTAAAACAGAAATACTACAGTTATACCTCACGGATACAGCCGTAGTGATTTCAGTCCTGTTTGACTTCTGAACATTATGAACAAACTGCCTTGATAATTAAAAAAAAAAAAAAAAAAAGTTATAAAGCTGCAAGGCAGTAATGAAGACTTTTGTGCACACTGATTAAGAAGCTTCAATGGCTGTTAATAAAAATTAGTCTAAATTAGTCTTCTGTCTCTTCTCTTGTAAAATCACCCAGTTGTGGTAAATTCAGTTGTCTTCAATTATGCTATTAATCCTCTGGCTCTGCTTTTCTAACAGAGTTTCATATTTTTACTTTATCAAGAGCATGAAGTAAAAAATTGTGACCACCAAAACAGAGAGAATAATAACAAAAGAATGATACTTTCTTGTATGTCAGCTACATCATTTATTCTTTGCAACCTGAATAAAGAACTAGTTTCCAGAAGATTGTCTGCACTGACAGACTACTATGAACAGAACATCTTGGAATCATTTGACAGCTAAAAGAAAAAAAAGAAATCTGCATCCCAGCTTCAGAGGCCTTCAGATTACAAAAGACACCAAAAGCCATTAGTCTGTAGAACTACCTGAAAATAGAAAAGAGGAAAGTGCATCATCTGACATATGTAAAACTTCATGGAGATCAGTTCTGAACTGCCAAGGTGATGGACTACTCCAAACAGGCTTCATCCATTTTTAATTTCTGTAATCAGAATCACACTTCAAGCTCTATAGCAGTGACAAGCAATCTCATTTTCAACTGGAAGTTACCAGAATGGGAAATATCAGTAACCTAAGCACTGTGGGAAAAGGCTGCTGTTATTTGGAATAACATTTACATACAATACAGAAAACAGTAGAGGATCACTCTCTACTATTAATCTGACTCTACATACCTATTATCATAATGTCTGTCCTAACTACAAAAAGTATGGTTTTCCTAAATTCCACTAAAACACTACTAATCTATTTTTGTCACGGAGTGAGAGCCATGTTTGGCTTTTATTATGACTCATTGTCTTACAGCTGCTAAATACATACGTAATAAACATGGAGGGAATATATTAGCATGAAATACTGGGATTTGGAGTAGGATACCAATTTACTGTCTCTGCTTTTTGAGTTGCAATAGATAGCAACTATCATCAGTTTGGCCCTAATGGGGATTCATAAGCTCTGTAACACTGACCAGACTGCCCAACACACCTGATCCCTTGGCTTCTCTCCCAGTTCTCTCATGGTTCTCTCTTCCACAGTTCTCACGTAAACCAAGGAGAACTGCAGGTGCTACGAGCTGAACTGGAAAATGGGCACACTGTCATTTACTTTCCAAATTTGTCATTTCTGTTATTTAACGTTTGCAATTTAATATCAAGCTTTTTCATTCTAAGAAGAGCTACTCAGATAACATCCCATGTTCACATAAGCATCACAGAAGTCTCACATAAAAAACATATGCCATTCATCAATTTTGTATATTTAGTGTTATCTGATGCCTACTATTCTGCAGTAAAATTCAAGAGAAAAAATCACCAATGCTAATTAAACAATAATTACCCTAGATTTCAATATGGAACCTGCAAAGTTTGATCTTAAGTCAGCAAAAGAAATTAAAAACAAATACTTAAGCCTGAATGTTAATAAAAAATAAAATTTTATGAAAAATTAATTGGGTGCATAAATTTAATTTTTTTTACAAAATGGAAAGCAAAGAACTTAAAATGAGCACCAGAAAAAGAATGCTATTGTTTATGTTTCTGCAATCAATTTGTTAGAGGAATCTTTCCTCTAACAAGGACAGAAGTTGCTTAAACACAAATGTAGCTTACAGGACATCTCACTCAAGTCAGTGGGACTAATCAGGCACCTAGCATAAAAAAGCTAATAATACTGATAAAGTAAACATGCTCTGCACTCTTCAAAATAGTGTTACTTGACCTCTCTTAAATAACAATTCAAAGAGATATCTACAACACATTTTACTCACACATTTGTACTTATAAAAACAATTTTGTAAAGGGAAAAGTCCACTTGCACAAGCTGTATTGAAAATATCTTCCATTTAAAAATTATCTGTCCGATTTTGTCAGTGGAATATATTGTACTGTTTCACAACTGTTGAAGGTTAATTCGTGAAATGCTTTTTCTCCACAGAATTATGAAATTTCATGTTGCAAAGAGAAAGTTTAAGGAAACACTTCGTCCATATGATGTCAAAGATGTCATTGAACAGTATTCAGCAGGTCATCTAGACATGTTATGCAGGATTAAGAGTCTTCAGTCACGGTAAGGAAAGAATAATTTCTGCTCTGCATAAGCATCACACGTTATGTCATTCACTGCATAATGAATATTGGTAGCGTTTAACATTCATGTGTTTAATTTGGGTACAAATTGCCATCCATGCTTCAGCCCAGCCTCTCTTTCTGTGAACACAGCTGAGCCACAAATTACATTCTAGGTAAAACCAAACAAAAAACCATGTATCAAAATTGTCCCCAGAAAATGGAAAAGTGCACAATAGAAAACATAATCCTTTATCTGTAAAGTCCATTCATAAACAAGGAATTTAGTCATCAGGTTGCCAAAAGGATGAGGTCGACATTAAGAAATGCCTTTCTCCCATCCCAGACTTCCTCTTTTCACACAGAAGAAATTGGGAACTACTGGTAATGTATTATTTCTGTAGTTTTTATGCTCTACATTCCCAGCAATAATAGTTAAAAAAAAAAAACCACAACCACACAACATTGCATCATGTGTATCATTACCAGCATCAAGGCTGAGATTCCTGCTTCAAACTGACAGCTCTCCCAGGACTCGATGCTGCTGTTAGGACCAGAGAGCTGAGGGTGGCACTGGTACATCTCTTCCCACCCAACATCAGGGTACTGGAGAGGCCACCTCCTTTCTTGCCCTCTCAGCAAGTCTAGCCCTGGTTCTCACAGATGATGGCTAAATTCTGGCCCCTGGTTAGTGCCAACAGAAAAGAAAAGCTGTCTGCCAGCTAATCTGTAAATGCTCAAAAAGCACTCTTCTTTTTTTTCCTTAATTTTTTAATAAAATTGTCTTCATTCTCAGGTGCTTTTCTAAGTACTGTGATTTTAATTTTCAGTGTACGGATTAGCAACCACTTCCTTATCATCACCATTTTCAGGAATCACAGAAGCTTTTGATTTCTCTTACAGTGTTGACCAAATTCTTGGGAAAGGACAAATCACAGCAGATAAAAGAAGCAGAGAAAAGAATCCTGCAGAGAATGAGACAACTGATGACCTCAGTATGTTAGGGCGTGTAGTCAAGGTGGAGAAACAGGTAGAGTGTTTATCAGTGTCGCTTTGTCTTGCTCTATTACTCATGCCTTTTGTGTATTTTATTGCCAGTTTCAAAGGCTAAACAGGTAATTTTTTTTTATAATATCTGCTTCATTTATATGTTGAAATAAAATTGATATTAATTGTATTGGCTGGATGGTCACACCCAGAGAGTTGTGGTCAATGGCTCAGACTCTGAACGGAGACCAGTGACGAGTGGCATTCCTCAGGGATTGGTACTGGGACCAGTGCTATTTAACATCTTTGTTGGAGACATGGACAGTGGGATGGAGTGCACCCTCAGCAAGTTTGCCAATGACACCAAGCTGTGTGGTGTGGTGACACGCTGGAGGGAAGGGATGCCATCCAGAGGGACCTGGACAGGCTGGAGAGGTGGGACCGTGCCAACCTCATGAAATTTAACAAGGGCAAGTGCAAGGTCCTGCACGTGGGTCGAGGCAATCCCAAGCACAAATACAGGCTGGGTGGAGAGTGGATAGAGAGCAGCTCTGAGGAGAAGGACTTGGGGGTGTCAGTAGATGAAAAACTGAACATGACCCAGCAGTGTGCGCTCACGGCCCAGAAGGCCAACCACATCCTGGGGGGCATCAAGAGAAGCATGGCCAGCAGGTCG